CTACTACTACTTCTTCTTCTTCTGCTACGACCTGCTACGACCACGACTAGGACGACGACGACAACGAAGATGAGGACGACTGCGACGACTATGACGACTGCGAGGACGACCACGTACCATGCACGACTGCGACCATGGCTGTTGCTGCGACGACTTCTACTAGTACTACTACCGCCACCAAATACTGCAACTACTGTCACCAGCGGCAGCTGCAGTGGCACGTTATTCAATACGGTCGTTTTCATGATGCACTTTTCATTAGCATTTAGCTTTTTGTAATTTGTGCTTTCGTGCTGTTGTTCTTGCTGTGTGGTTCTGCTCCATGCTGATGATGGTGCCCATGGGGCGCTTGTTCCTGGTGGTAGCGCTGGTGTCGGCGGCGGTTGCTGGGTGCTAGTTGCTGGTGTGGATTGTGACGGTAGTGATGACAGCTACTAAAAGGACATAATGCCCCACGGCCCGGAAGTGAAGCGCGTGGCTTGTCTGGGGGTTTCAGAAGATATGGGACCCTAATATAGTACAAAAAATAGTAGGATCTATATTATACGGACCCCCAAAAAGGTACCCCTTATTTTCGGAAACTCCCTTGTCATTTTGGCTCAAGCCATATATGGCCCATTTCGAGCCACCGCTGGCACTGTTGGAAGGCAGGTACCAGCCACTCGAAGTGGGACGCGGAGGATGGGTTGCTCTCAGTCCTCCGATGAGGTCCGGAAGCATACTTAAAGGATCATGGGACTTAGTAAGTAGGGCTATACTTAGGGTAACTATACTTATGACCCCAATAAGGGACTTGTAACCTTACTTACTAAGTCCCAGGGACCTCCAAGTAGGAGTCGTCAGACCTTTTGTAGCACGGTTGCCGTGTTTGGGGGTTGCCCTGGGACCATGAAATGGGATCTTCCGAAGATTAGGGTACCTTGTGTTGGGCTCGTTATAATCCCAGACCCCCAAAAGGATCTAAAAAATAGATCCCCTAAGGGGGTTCCTATAAAGTACCCTTTAGTAGTTAGGGTCCCTAATTAGGGGATCTATATATAAGGATCCTATTATTTCAGGTGCAATCCTAGGGTCCCCTATTTTCGGACACCCCCAAATGTACAACTGACCGAGACCCCTTCGCAGGCCGTCGCGAGCGCGAAGCCTCCTTCGAAGCATTCCTTCTTCGTCAAGGAGGATGTGGTAAAGAGTGCACTACAAGTACGAGACAAGGTTTTGGTGGAATGCCCCTGGTCCGAATTTGGGACAACTGGCCGTCTAGGCCCTAGGCACTAGAGATGATGAGGAGTAGCGTAGGGTGGGTGCTAAAGTCGGACGTTTCAGGTGAAGAGCCGTCATCTATGGCAGATTATGATTCTTGGAAGCATGTGGTGGACGAGTACGACGTGCAAGCGCTGGACGACGGCAAAAGCCTGCCAGTGAATCGCACGGCTGATCAACACATTGCGATGCAGACTCGGAATGCCTTGCAATATTTGACGGAAGACCCTGACATGCTGAAACGCCTCGTAAAGAAGCACCGGATGGCAAATGACGACATCTCTGCCTGTGTTAGCCGCAGCATGACGAATCTTGGCGATTCAGCGGAAATCTTGAAATCTAGGAGCTGAGTTAGTGAAGTAGCTTCGTCACATGCGCCCGTGATCGCAGTGACCGTGGCTCTTCGGTGCTTTTTTGCTTCAAGTTAACAGTGCTTATCAGTACTTAGTGATGTGTTTAGATGCCTACCTACGATCGTGAACAGGGCAGGCGCGAGACGCAAGCCCTCGACTTTGTAACGCTGAGGTGCTGTTGGCCAAAATTTGTATGGCGACGGGGTCTCGAAAGCTTGAAACTGGCTCTTGAGGTGTAGCCGGTTCAGCGCTTCGGGGGTTCAGTGGGTAAAGGGCTTCGAGGAATTAGAAAGTGTTTCCGACATGACCCTCATATAGCACCCTCATTAAAATAGTAGGATCCTTATTACAAGGACCCCCAAGATAAGGTACCCCTTAATCGGAAACTCTCAATAGAACCGAGTTCTTTGCACCGGATCCACATCTGCCGCAGAGAGTGCACACTCAAGTTCTGGACATCCAGAAAGTGGTGTAAAAATCAATGCTGGAACCTTCACCGGGTCCTTGTTGGATACAATTTTACACATTTGTTATAATAAAACCCAACAAGGAGGAAAAAACTATCATGTTTAATATGGCCCCAACTGGGAACCAGTTCAGCTTCGCAGCCTTTTCTAGCTTCAGACAAGAACCAAGCCAAGAATCCGAGGAGTTCCGGGGCAGAAGCCTGTGACACGACTCCATCGGCTGCTGTGAAAGGGCAGAGCACCATCGTCTCGACCTAGCCGACCTAGTCGTTGCAGGACTCTTGAAGAGGATCTTTGGAGCAGAGCTCTCGGTACCAAGCCGTAGCACGAAACTCTCCGGCCAGTTTGCTACTAGAGGCCGAAAGCTTCGGGCTCCAGAGGAGCCAGAAGCCGACCGTTAAAAAAAAGGGACCCTTAAGAGTTCGAGTAGTATTCCTTAGGGTTCCACGGGAAAAAAACAAAGGATATGGTGTACCCGAGGGCCTATTCAACGTATTTACGGTCCCTTTTGTTTACGAGGCTGTTGGTTAAACTTTAGATATCTCCCACGCAGCACAAGCTTTGGCAAACCCGATGGTTTGTCATGCCGTGTGGTGAGTGATGGACCAGTAGTGGATGGGATTTGAGATGAGCACGTGTATGCAGTACTCGTTAAGATGTGTGTCAGCAAGCACACGTGTGCCATTTGGTCCATGAATTGTCGTAGCACCTGATGCCTTTTTCTGGCATCGGCTGAGACCGGGGTTTCAGCAAATAGGAGACTCTAGTATAGAACACAAACCAATAAGAACGACCTCTGTATAGGGTACTCCTATTGTCTGAAACCCCCCGATTTTGATGATGTGGAGCTGCCTCTTTTTCCATCGGTGCCCCGCAAGAATGGCACCTGCGGCTACATAGTCTGACGATCTGACCTTACACAACTCTACGATGTAGTTTCGGGTGTTGACAGGGTTTAGGGTTTACTGTAGGGTAGCTTCAACCCCAAACCTTGACACGCTGAAGCCTTCGAGCCCGAAAGCTCGAAAGCTCAAGCCCAAGCCCCTAAAGCCCCGCAGCCCCGAAGCCCCACTTAAAGGATCATGGGACTTAGTAAATAGGGTTATAACTAAGGTAACTATACTTATAACCACAATTAGGGGACTTATAACCTTACTTACTAAGTCCCATGATCCTCCAAGCAAACCTCAGAATGAATAGTTCTTGGCGGGAAAGGCTGCCTCTCTGAGAGGGAGCACGGCAGCAGATTTTGAACCCTTCACGCAGAGTGCGAAGTTGAGCGCCAGAGCATTCCAGGCATAAGCGAAGAAACAGACACCCCAAGAAAGTGGTGGTAAGCAGATATAAGTGGCAGTGAGTTGTAGTAAGTACGAGTGGTGGTAACAAGTGGGAGGAGGAGAAGTATAAGACTGACGAAAAAGTGGTGGTAGTAGTAACCGCAGTAGTAGCGGCAGAAGTTTTTATAGCATTGGTAGGGAGAGTGCAGCTCACAATCAAGGTTTCGTAGCGCAGGACTCTTGAAGTAGTTGCACTCACACCATCTCAAGGCCTTCATCCTTTTTGCCAAGCCCTGTTTCCCTTATCCGGATCGCCTGCACACGCCTGTCACGAACCCTGAACCCCAATGTAGACCGCTGGAAATTGAACCTCCCTACCCTCTCCCGCAAGAGGATCCTAGTAGAGACTTATCTCGTAACATTATGGCCTCATACAAAAGATGGGTTGTGGAAAATCAGGCTTCTAGATGCAACCTCGAACTTCGTCTCCTGAGGTCACAAGGCGGATTCTTCCTCTTGGGGGACATCAGCGATCTCTGTGGCCTAGGGCTCAGCAGGGATGACCACTGTCGCTAGGATTGACTTCTATCAGTTTGGGAATTGGGGTGCGCAACCCTAAAACCCTAAACGGGTTGGATCGGGGCTAGGCTCCCGTTTTGCTGGGCCGAACTGTATGCAACCACCTCCAACTCGAACTGTCTGCAACGGTTTAGGGTTTCGGGTTTCGATCGCCCTCCTCACAGAAATCATGTGGTTTCAGGGTTCCCAGAGAGCCCAACACACAGTTAATTCAGGAATTTACTTTGAACTAAAGCAAGAAGCCTGTATCGAAACTGCAGGGTACTGCGCTTCACGGTGAAGGGTCTAGGGTTGAAGGTTTGGATGGGGTGTTGAGAGTTTGGCTTTTGGGGTTTGGGTTGTAATCTATGGGCCTTAACCAAGCCATGGTCGTGGTAGAATGGATCAAAGAACAAGAGCGAGAAACTTAAATCCTCGTAGAACCCTGTGGAACCCTGGAAAGAGCCCTTCGAAGAATTCCTGTAGGAACCCTCATGCAGCCCATGCGAAAGCCTTATTCCTCTGATGCTGCCATGCGAGAGCCAAGAAGGAAAGCTTTATTAATCCCGAACCTCAAGCCCTAAACCCTAAAGCCTGAACCTAAACCCTAAACCCCTACAGCATCGAAGCTCTGGGGGGCCCTGCGGGTAGAACGAGCCGGCTCCATCCGCCTTCTGCGCTCGATCGTCCGGGCTTCAAGTTTAGGGTTTAGGGCTTAGGGCTTACGGTTTAGGGTTTAGGGTCCGAGAAGGATTCGGATACCCAGAAGGGCTTGGGGTTTACTTGGAGGTTCATGGGTAGTTATAAGTGGGGTTATAAGTCCCCTAATCGGGTTATAATGATAGTTACCCTACTTATAACCCTACTTCTAACCCGTGAACCTCCAAGCAGGGAAGATTATTGCAAGGGTTTGGGGTTTAGGGTTAAGGGTAGCCGGGGCTTCAAGAGGGATTACAATAACTAGAAGGGTGAGATATGGATTCCCAAAAGACTATCGTAAGGGTGACTATGGCGGTCGAGGGTTTAGGTAGGGTTGGGAATTCTTAGTTAGGTTTAGGGGGTTTGGGGTTGAGGGGTACCTGTCGAAAAGTCTTTCAACTCAGGATCCTTTTCATGATCTAGAGGAGGGCTCTTTACTAGTCGACTTTAAAATCGCAAACCAGTCGTCCCGCTTCGCTTTGCAACTGTAGGCGTGTGCTCTTGTAGGGTTGGAGGTAGAGGAGTCTCTGAGGCTTACCTATAGTCTCATTGTGATTCTCTTTTTGGGTTATAAATCAAATCGAGGAGCTACAATTACGATGGAGACTGTGGGCAAACAGGAATTGACCAAACTTTGCGGCCTAACACTCGCAGACTACGGCGTCCCTCCTAACGCCGGCCAAATTCAAGATTCCTTGTGGCTTTGCGGTTTAGGCTTCAGGGCTTCTCAGGGTGTTCGGTTTGGGGTTTAGGCTTTGGGCTTTCTCTGGCTTTCGGGTCAGGGCTCAGGCTTGTTAATTTGGTTTGGGATTTCCGGTTTAGGCGTAAGCTTTAGGGTTTGGACGTCTAGGGAAGGAAGCCCTAAACCCCAAACCCCAAACCCCAAACCATAAACCACAATCCCTGAAGCCTAATCCCTAAAGCCCTATACTTGCCCTAAGCCCAAACCATGACCCTGAATCCTAAACCCTGAAGCCCAAAGCCCTAAACCCCAAATCCTAACACGGCTCTGCCCAATCCCAGGTCCCGCACAGAGCGCGAAGACTCCGGCACCATGGGAGCCGCCCACCTCGACAGGTCCGGTAGCTACCGTAGGTTTAGGGTTTAGGGTTTAGGGTTTAGGGTTTAGGGTTTAGGGTTTTGCCGACGGTTTGAAGGGTTCTACCCTCCAACAATGTAAAGAGGCTTTACCGACTATTCAAAGGGGTCTGCGAAAGCAAATCAAGCCCGTTCCTTGTAGGCTAGAACCCTGAATACAGTAGATAAGCCGCCCCCGAATCATAGGGTAGTAGAACCCTTGAAAAAATAGAAGCATGGATGGCTTTAGGGTTAGGGCTCTCGGGTTTAGAGTTTAGGGCTTAAGTCCGCTTTAGGGTTTAGGGTTTAGGGGTGTAGAGTTTCAGGGTTTGGGGACTAACCTCGACGTTCTTCTTGCTGCTCCTGCCGAGACTTGTCATCTTGGACAAGTGGGTGACGTTGGGGTTTAGGGTTTAGGGTTTAGGGTTGTGTCTGGTTGGATCCGAAACCGCGACAGAAAATGTGACCGTCGCAGCCCTGCACGACCAAGAACCCTTCTAGAACCGCGTCTCCCGGGACTCAAAATTTGTGGCCCTTCCAGGACTGTAGCGACTTGGAGCTGGAGCACGTAGGGTTTAGGGTTTGGGGGTTTAGGGTTTAGAGTTTACTGCGTGCCAAAGTGTTGGATTCTGTCATGAGTTCGGCTGCCCGGCGGATGCGGCCGCCACGCGCTTGCTTCAGTCATACATGCGCACAACGCCGAAGGAGCGGCGGAACTGCATCTCACTGCTATTGCTGCTGGTGCTACTATTCTTCCCACTACTATGCCGTAACTCACCCGGTAGTGCGAGATTGATAATGCTAGAACCCCGTCTGTCTGGAGAGTTCAACACTTGCATCCGCATGCCTCCTACTGTTGACGGACACAAACCTGCATGACCTTATATACCCAAACTATGGGATTTCTGGTACTATACTATATTTGGGTCATGCAGGATTTTGTCCATCAACAGTATGACTGCTAGTGCCCCAGGAGCACAGCCAATACAGGGGCCTTAATGGTTAGAATCGGGTGTTGGGGTCTATTCTCCTATAAATAAATATGAAAAGGAACCCTGAAAACGGTATTGGAAGTTTCTAGTTAGGTCTCCATACTTCGTCGCCACCCCAACCCTCCCGTCCCCGGCAGTGGAAGGGCTAAGCCAACGGCGGCTGCGCTTGAACTTGCTCCGCAGTTGCAGGGCGCCGCTGCGCGCCCTCAGCATCGAAGATCGGCTTTAAAAACGCTTTCGGGTTTAGGGTATATGGCCCTAAATTCTAAGCCCTAAACCCTAAAACTGTGTGAAACCCAGGTGGAACTTCGAAGGATGACAGGACTAGCAGAGAAGGGACCGACCAAAAGCTCAAAATCCTAACCCGCGGTTGCCACGGTTTGCTGCACGGTTTAGTGGTTTAGGGTGCTGTACTACTTGAAAAGAACAGGGTTGTGGGGTCCAACAGTCCTTATTCCTTACATTAAGGAGCCCAAAGGAATCCAGTGAGCCCATTTGCGTGAAGCTCCTCAACGCTATTCAACGATAGCCTCCATAACTGAAGCCAACGAGTTCATCCGCCATGCTATGTCATTCTCCCCAACCCACCCGCAAACCTTTCCGGCAAAACGTTCCCACAGTCTGACAGCTAACCATTTATCCTTCCTACAAGCCA